GGAATATGAGCCAGGCATTCACAGCTACCTTGGGTAGCGGCGCGATCATGTGTTTCCGGACTAAGCTTGAAACAGTCAGGCTGTTAGCAATATGTATGGTTTTTGCTCTACAGCTAAAATGTGCACATGTATTTTGCAGTGTTATGATCTTTCCCAGCAGGCAGGAGGAAAAGGACGTCGGCTGGGACGACAATGTTGCTTCACGGGGCAGCGTGAAATCTTAACCTCCAGCACACATGGTTACCGTGAATTTTGCATGAAGAGGAATGGAAAATTATCCTTTGAAAGTGCAAATTGGCCAACAAGTAGAACGTCTAGAGGAAAGAATGACTTAACTGCATAAAACTTTCACGGGTCCGAACAGAAGTGTGAAGCGTAGTTAGGGAGTGAATTTGAAACCTTTAAATTGCACGTGGTCAAGGCTCCTTAAAATTTTAACTTTCCAGCTCTTCTGGTTCCCAAGTTAGTACTTTTCACGCTAAAATTTTCATGTGCTCGCATTGAGACTCAGACATGCGTGAAAGTTGGTGCCGGAGTGACACTTGACCAGGGTAACTACTGGCAAAATTTCAGCAACAAAGCTTACCTGGTTGTCGAGTTGAAATACCCGGACAGATGAACACACGCACATACACATAGAAATACACATGCACACTCACACCATGGTCGTTGCAATATCGTTTTCGCACTGACACAAATGCGCAAAAACGCATAAAAATGTCGCAGCAGCAGCCAAAAGGTATGCCAACAGTTTTATTTTAGGCCGATCGCAACGTCGGCGTTTCTCTGATGAGGTATAGTGGGAGGCAGGGGAGAATGAGAGGAACATGTCGACCTGGGTTAGGCAGTATGTACAGGTAAAAAAAAAAAAATCAACAACGTTAATGTAGCAGTAGCTACAGATGTTGGCTGAGAAGTAAATTTGACTTGATTTGTTTTGGATATATCGCACAGATCACCACTCCAGTCTTCATCACAGATGCAAGGCTTGTTGAAAAATAAGCTGTCCGGATCGTATCTTATTCCCACCGATATGCCGTGAACTGTAATGAGAGCGTCTTGTTGATTCTGTCTTATTTTTAGTTAATAACATCCAACACAAAATAGCAAGTGCTTTTTTTTGCATATTTTTATGCTCTTTCTTTAATTAAAGCAATATGCTGGACTGATACAGCTGCGTTTTTGTTGCAAGCTGTGGTGCATATGGGTTATGCCGTATCATATCTCACACTCTCTGAATGTGTGTGAATGTATATCTATGCAGGTGTGTGTGAGAAAATACGGAAGTTATGAAGTAGAAATGTTGGAACAAGAGTCCACAACAGTATATGAATTAAAAGGCACAAATGTGTAATCGTCTTGCACTCTTTGGATCCGAACTCGCTCGATTGAAAACGCGAAATTTAATTCCGGCCTAATTTATATATCTCGAGTTTTTCTGACTTTCGAAAAATCTAAAACAATTGTTCTCGATCTTGAAAGTTCAAATATTCTAAATCTCTGATAACTGGTGTATAATCCAAATGGACCCACCAATTTGTTAGACAACTCGTTTGTTTGGCACTTTATCCTATGTAAACTCAAGAATTCGATCTAGATTGCAGTTTACAGCACAGAATTTCAAAATCGTGCTCAAAACAGACCGCAAGCAAAGTCCAAGCATCTTGTTCCGGTATACGGATAGGGGCAGACGCATCGATGTCCGACCATGATACCGCCGTTCCGACAGTGAGCATCCACGTCGTCATTCCAAGCCCGCAAAGGTATTTCGCTACAATATGTCGAATAAAAAGCACATTTACATCTTCTGCCAATTCTTTCAAGCAATATCAGTAAGTAACAGCAGCTTGCGGAAATTCTGCAAAAAACAGACGTTCTTGGCTCTTCTGGTTCTTCACCAGTACTCATTTTAGCAAACAGTTCTTTGCCTAATTTTTACACTTTTGAGCTTGCTTTCTCTAATTCCAGCGCAAATTAGCCAGTAAGTAATAGGCAATTTGCTCGCCCTTTGGCTAGAATAGGCTACCCACAGTTTCCAATTCCCCTTCATACAATCTAGCCTGATCACACTATTGATAAAAACAGAATCAGCAAAACAGCTAAATAATTGGCCAACGCACGGGCTGCCAGTGCGAAGATGCGTTTTTTGCAGAGTTCCCCGCAGTTTTTGTCGCTACCGGCATCGGTTTTTTCGGGCCACATGCTTCTAGTTGAAAGAATTTCAGACTGGCCGCCAGGACTGTCAGGAAACATCCCCTCAAAATTGCAGTCTTCTAGCTTCTCATGTTCTCGAGTAAGTAACTTACCCGGAAGGAACCTTTACGGGCCTGTACGTAGGTACCACGCTTACCCGTGAGCAGGGTTTGAACTCGTTAATACCCACTTGGACAGGGAACACCCCCTAAATTTTCAGCTCTCTAGCTTTACAGATCCCCGAGTTATGGACTTACCCGAAAAAAATTTTGGCAGGCTCGAACGCGGGTACCACGCTTGCCCGAGGGATGGGTATGGGTGTTAATATCTAGTTGGACGGAGAACATTTTCCTAAAATTTCAGCTTTATAGCATCTCAGAACCCCGAGTTATGAATTTGTGCGTGAAAAACTTTGGGGGGCTCGTACGCGGGTACCACGCTTACCCGGGGGCTGGATTTGAGCTCCTTAGTACCTACTTGGACGGGGAACAATCCCTTAAAATTTTAGCTTTCTAGCTTTTCAGAACCCCAAGTTATGAACTTACTCGAAAAAAAACTTTGGGACGCCCGTACGCGGGTGCCACGCGCGATATGGCGCCAATTTTGGGGATTTGGGCCCATACATGCATGTAGATTAAGTCCCCAAAATTTCAGCCCCGTAGCTTTTGTAGGTCTTGAGATCAAAAACCGTGACAGACGCACACGCGGACACACAGACACACAGACTCACAGACGCACAGACACACACACACAGACAACCTCTCGCCAGTATGCGTTTTTCGCATTGCATTGCTGCAAAAAACGCATAATAAATACAACTGCCTGGAGCTGAAGCGCGTAGTCATTTCTTTAGATTAATGCAATTTCATGCCATTTGTTACGCAGTCGTATTACTCGAACTCAAGGTGTCGCCTACCAGGTTTTTTGGTGCAAATATGCGTTTCTACACCAAATTTGCAGCAGCCAGATTGTCAACAATACGAATAGTTGCTGCGTTGCAATTTAACATGTGGACACATGCTGGCTCTGTTTTTGACGCTTTCCTGCACGTTGGTTGGAATGGTGGTGTTGCATCACGAAATATTGTGAATCTCCAGCATGCATGGCTATATGAACACCGCTCGTTTTTCCAGGTCAACTAATAAGCCTCGACTCAGCTCAGTCGGCGCCAAACATGATTTGCGAACGATTTTTTCCGATGTCCTTACTCCGCTGCGACAAAGGACGCTGAATGCCGCAGAT